TAAATCTTTTTAGGGAATAGAGCTCTTATTAGTAAGACCAAGCCATGTCGTGCATTTAGAGTAACCGCAATTCTAATGACAATTTAAAGTTGTAACCTGCTAAGACGAAGACATAAGCACAGCCAAGGATGAAACAACTATTATGTACGTATGTAAATAGAATTTTATCTTACAAAATGAACTTATTTAATTTATTTGTTATTTGTGATTAAGTCGACTTTAAAACTCTTGCTTATTTCTCTGTACTTTTTTAATTCTGAAATCTTTATTAGCAGAAATCTCTTGAAGAGACAGGGTACTTGGTCTGTTTATGATAATATTTACTATAATTTACTTATGATCTGCTGGGAAAAAATACAATTGTTAAAAATCACAAACAAATTAGTCTGTAGAGAGTTCCTGCTCACAATTCAAAACTTTTACTCAAAAAATAAAATAAAATAAATAAATAAATAAAAATAAATTTTTTTTATTTGTTTTGTTTAAAATAACTTTACATTTTGCAACTGTCTAAATATAAAAATATATTTGTAAAATATTGCACAATAAGATATTAAAATAATTTTTTTAATTATAATAATTATTAGTATATCAAAGATATATTGTAATTTATTAAATTAATAAAGAAATTGATGTAAGGTTATAATTTTAATTATTCAAGATATTATCTAATTTTTTTTATTTATTTATTGTCTATACTTCTGAATCTTCTTCATGATCATAGTCATTATGTTCACTATCCGAATTTAACAAAGACCTTACCTCTTCTAATATCATTAACAATTCGTTGCGTCTTTTGGACTTTAGTCTACTATACCTTTTCCGAATACTTCCGTTTAATTGTTCAAGAAGAGTTTCAATCTTGCTAATGATTTCTGCGTTAGTTATTTTTACTTCAGTTTCTTGCAAGTCTTCTTCTTGTTTTGTAATCAGAATTGGTCTAAATAAAGGTGTTGAATTATTGTTACAAAAGATGTTAGTAATATATTCTTGCTAGGCTTTTTTTGCTAAACTAGTAAAATTTGACAAATGTGTGCTTAATTTATATTCTTCTCCTAAACTTTTACAGATAATTCTCGAATCCATTGGATTAACAAAGTTATCTTTTCTCAAACGGACTCGGAATCTTCGGCATTCAATTATTGCTTCTGGCCGGTTTCTTGAACTATTCGCCTGAGGATCTTTATGCCCAATCAATTCAAAGAAATTGTTCCGCAACTAGATTTTATTGAGTATAAATAAGTTAAATTAAATATATAAAAAAAATTTTAAGTGTAAATATGTATAACGTTGAATTACCTAGAAAAATTTTTTACAATTTCGTGCAGCAACTCTCCAATAGCGCATTTGCGAGATGGGGTATCAATATTTTCAAAGTCTTATTTATCTCTTCTAAAATAGCATCTAATCCTTGATGCTGATTAGAATGTCCTGAACGAGAAACAGTACAATTTCTTTCTACAATATCCCTCACATATGGATCAAGCTGCATTAGTTGTACTTCATCTGATGCTTCTATATAATGATATATGAGATGGTGACGTGCCGACCATATTGGTGAAAAAACTCTTCTCGTAGCTTTTTTCAGTAATGGATCATTTCTCCTTATGGCTGTTCTGTAGTTGATAATAGCTTGTAAGTAATAAAATACCTATATAACAAATTAATGTAATAAATGTTAATACATGACAAAATTCGTGCTTTGAATGCTATTCGAAACTACTATGTGATTTTGCAGATATGAATGTCTGCGAAATCAAAACATTTTAAATGTATGTAAAATAAGATGCGAATTTTCAATTTAACTAGTTAATTTAATATGAATTTATATCTGTTCAAATTTTATTTAATACATAAAATCTTTTTGTTCTTTCACCCAGGTTAAGTATCCTTTTACTGATAGATTGGAAGCATTCTTAACATATGGCCAAACCAACTTCATGGCGATAGATTGATGATAAATATTGCAAATAGAATCCCAAGCCTTATGATGATCATAACACTTCTTAAAATAAGCAAGCTGATTTTCTGTTTTGTATTTTTGGCATTTTGCAAAATGCTTAAGATCGATATTCCTTTTTAAATGATTAGAAAAGTTATGTAAGTAGGTATCAGAAATATCAAGAGTTGCCATAAGTAAACTTAATATAATGTTATAATAAAATTTTAATTGGTTAGAAACACTAATTTAAACGATATAATCTTACCAATTTAGCTCCACATACGCCCGAAACATATTCATTTCTTCATGTAATTGTCCAGGAACGAGAACCAACCAAGAATATTTATGTTTTACCTTAGTTATATAGTTATACGAAATACCATCACACGTAACAATTACCCATTTGCGTATTTTGTCTTTAATGCCTGAAATTTTTTCTATATGAAGAAGAATTTTTTTAATATTAGCAATTGAATTTGGGTTAATATCAAGATGATCAGGAACGAAAATTTCTGGAATTTTAACTCCACTATCTGGTGATAGTTTTTGAGTGATACTTATTCTTGGTAGAGTAGATGAATTTGATTCTACTTCAATATTATATGGTTTAAAAATGATTGGACGGTCTTTTATATTTTCTTCTAACTCAGGGACTTGTTTTTCTTGTAATTTGGCTAATTTAGGTAACCGAGCAGTACATTTCAGACAAATCTGCTTTCTGTTATCGATATTTTGTTCATTACATTCAAGGCACCGCTTTTTACAATGGTCGTTTGATCCTATACTAGCAATAAGAGCATCAATCCTATTAGTTGTGATAATTTTTTTTTCTAGTAACAAACTTAAAATTTCGGAAAGATAACTATGTAATTCTTCATCTATTACTCCCTGTATTTCAGGCGTAATCTCGAAAAGGTTTTCATATTGTAGCCTGTTATGAGAATTAGGTACCCACGGCATATTAGTATGTTGAATAAAATTTTGTAATTCTATATTGAAAGCAACAAAACTGGTGACAATATTATATATTACTGTATTTGATCCTCGGTCAAGATAATTTCTCTGTCCTTTTTGCTCATTATTGAATGCTATAAATAAAAGCCTATTAGGTAATGCTTCTTCTCTTTCAGACAATCTGTCCAACCAATTTTGAAAATAAGAATAGCTTCCTAAGCAGATGATATAATTGTCGATGTTAATTATGGTCTTTGATCTTGCAATAGAGTACTTTATGGCCGATGTTGCAAGGTTTATTTCTGACACATATTTTCCATACCTTGATCCATAAATTAAATCAATGGCCATCGTTCTCTTGAAAATTTTCTCAACGCTTAAAAAATCTGTATTAGAATTATTATATGTTAGCGTTTCAATGAACTTTACAACAACTTGATTATGATTACTTAGCCATATTTGTAGTGCATAACTTAATAGGTTTTCTAAAGAAAACCTATTATTATCTCTAATAAGATAATTAATATCTTCATATAAAGATTCACGTTCGAGTAATGCAATATTAACAATTTCTTCTATGCGTCTCTGCTAATTGCAATGCTGAGAGCTCTATTGTTCAGTAAGATTCTTATTTTCTTCACACTTTTCTTGATATAATTTCTTTAATTGAACTATCTCACCACAATACTCATTTATTCGTCTTTTTAACTCTGATATCTCTAGTTTTTGATCTTCTACTTGTTGCTGCAATTCAGTAACAACATTAGTAAGATATAACGTATACTCATTATTTTCTATTTGACTTTCACCCTCGTTGATTATCTCTTCAGGGGCAGAACCAATATCGATTCGAGATCTCTTATGTTCGTGATCTGTATGATCTAAATCAGAATTACCTAAAAGATTTTGATAAAAAACATCATGAGTTATAATTTCATTATAATGCGTTTGACAAACAGAATGAGAATTCAAAGAAAGATTAATAAGCTCTGGTATAAAATTATGATATAATGCAAGCCGCCCAGCTGCTTTTAAACTATTAGTATTTTGCCAAGTCTGTGATCTTCTTGTATCACAAGGACTTAATCCGAATCTCTTGTATCTACTAGCTATTGTAGAAAATATATAGAGAAGCTCTTCGGGTTTTAATTTTTGTTGGGCTACTGGGTGTTGTGATATCTCGAATTCTAAGTTTCTAGTATGCTGTTATGTAATAAAAAGCTATATATTAAAGTGTTTTTTTAAAATTTTAGGCTTTGACTACTTTTTTACAGAAAGCTGATCTCGAAAAGATCACAAAAGATCACTAAACTAGAGGTTTTTTGCTCTTAACTCAAATAGTTATAGGCACAATTGATTATCACGAAAAGTCACAATTTATGGCTAAAGTGAACCAACAGAAGTTGGCAAGAGCCAATTAGATTTTATCAAATTTTTAAAGAGTATTCTAGAATGGATTTCTATTTTTGGTAATATGCCCAACTGTACTATTCATAATATTATATGAACTGTTTTTCGTATTATATCATAAAGATTATCGTAACTAAATGTACTTTCTTGCAAATCAAAATTATCTACTATGCAAATATTTTATATATCTTCTTTTATCCATAATTTCTCAGTTATATTAACTTGCTCATATCATTGTTTTTCTAAATATCTTTCATACCGACTAGTGTGTGCTACTACATCAGCTATACATAATATTGCATATAATGATGTATGCAAACAAGGTTTTTGGTATAAAGAACTAAGAATGTGAGTAAACCAAAGATCTAATCCTAGAAATGTGATTGATAACAATACAGAGATAAAAAATACTACAATCTTTCTAGTACGTGTATCATCATAATCTTTTTCTAAAACTCTTCTTTCTTTCTGTTTCCTTAATATGACTTTCTATTTATTTTGCTGAATAGTATCTATTAAACTATAAAAAAATTCTGAAAACACTAATGGAAATTCATTTTGAAATTCATTTAAAGAATATGGCATTTCTAATTTCTCTTTATTAGTACAGATTTTATTTCTAGAATGCTAAAATAAAGTTGCCAAAGCTTTACCTACTTGTTTCAGATTTTTTTTGATTATGTTGCAGAATATTTCACTTTTTGAAATTTTTTTTATATTGATTTTTTTAGTCTAAATGCAATTTTTACACTTAAAAAACTCAGCGAATTCGAAATTATAAATTTTTTTTTTACACTTTGTTTTTTGGATATATCATTTTTGTTGTCTCTAGTCATATTGTTATCTGATTCTTTATCATTAATTTCTTCATGATTCTTCGATTGAATAAGGTTTAATTTCTCAAAAAATACCATAATTCCTTTAAAAATTTCATAAAGAAGAAGATACTGAATATCTCTTTCTACAGATTTAAACATATCATTTACCCACTTTGCTATAAATTGAAGTGATTTTGCTGAATTATTATTATGTTGATCTATACAATCGAATGGAAGAACAGCACCCTGTCCTTGTTATATAAATAAATGTTCACCTTCGGATGAAAAATATAATTAACAAATATATCATATACGTCTGCTATTAGTGGACTATTTAACGAAATTATTATTTTGAAATACAGTGCATACTTTCAATCCATTACAAACTACTTGTATATTTTGATTACATATGTTCTATAAATGTTTTTTACAATAACCTCTATAAATAAATATATATTTATCATATTCACAAAATAGACACTTTTTTCAACAAATTAAGGCCTTATCAATACTAGTTTCTGATTTTTAAAAACTATGTAATTGCTTGTTATCATAATTGAAATGACTTGTGCAAATATCTAATAAATTTAATTCATCTTTTTTTGATTCTATAATTTTGCTTACTGTCTCAAAATCCAACTTCTATACTCCACCAAGTTGCCTTAATGGCTTAGATACATTATGCGAACATCGTTGTAGTTTTCCATCTAATTTATCTATTATAATGTATGCTTGATTTATATATTTAATTTTTGAAGAACTAAGTTCGATATTTAATTCACTTTCTTGATGACTATCACTTTCCTATAAAGATTTATTATTAGATATCATATCTAATTTTGGTGCTAGCTAGTTTATGTCAACTTCTTCTATTTGCTCTTGTGTTGCTTGTGATATTAAATTAGCATATTTTTTGGCCATCTTAATAGCTGTTTTATCAAAATAAAGATCATATAAATTATTATATATATCGCTTCTATTACTTGTATTATATGCAGATGATAACAAAGGTGTAGTTAATTGTTTAAAACTTTCAGAATTATTTTTAATACTGACATCATCAAGGATTTCGAAATCCTTATTAGGATCATTATAAGAAATCTCACCACAAATATTCTCAATATCCGAACTATTCATAATCAAATGATATATATTTAATAATAAATGACTAAAGAAAATAAATACAGAAAGAAAAAAAAATTTATCCAAAATAACAAAAAAATTTTAATACAATACATGGTAACTAACAAACAAAATCTAATATAGTATATAGTAACTGACAGAAAAAAGTTTGTGGTATATAATAATTAACAAACCTAGCAACTAGTAAAACAAAAACTTAATATAGTAATCAAACAATAAAAAAGAAGTCTTGATGCAGTTAAATAAATATGCAAAAAAAAAATAATAATAATAGTGATCAAAATTTTTAATCCAAATCGATACAATAGTTTTTTTAAATAACAGGAGCTTTAACTATTTAAACAATTATAACAGCCTGCATTAAAAAAAATAATAAGTTTAGTAACTGCAACAAAAGTTTAATAAATTAGAACATAAGTAAAAAAAAAAAGAAAAAAAAATGATATAAATAACTAACCAATACAGTAGTAACTAGAGCTTTGCAATTATTTAAACGATTATGATAGCCTGCATTAAATAAAAAAATATAATATAAGAAAGTTTAATAACCGTAAACAAGAAGTTCAATGAATTAGAAATAAGTAAAAAAAAAAAACTACAAAAAAAATAACATAAGGTAAATGTGGGTATTTTGACAAATATGTGTATTTTGATGAATTACAATAAAACTTGTTTTTTTTTACTAAATAAATTAAACCTCATTTACTAAGTAAAGTTGTTTGAAATACTATCTTTTATCTATTTTCAAATTTTGGTGCAATTTAATAACTTTTTACTATTAGATTTTTTCGTTATACGTTTTGGCGCAGAAAATCAATTTACTGCACTAAAACATATAACGAAAAAATCTAATAGTAAAAAGTCATTAATATTGTGCCAAAACTTGAGAATAAATAAAAGATGATATTTCAAACAACTTTACTTAGTAAATAAGGTTCAGTTTACTTAATAAAAAACTATTGTAAAATGTTTAATTCTTTATTAAAGTATGTTAATGATCGTTGCATTTGTCAAAATACTCACAGGGAAAATAGAAATTATTATTACATAGAGAACATCATATAATTTATATAAAATTTAAATCTTTATATAAATATATATTGTAGAGCAGATTAAAATTTATATAGTTCAAAAGCAAAAAAAAATAAAACTCTAGTTTTTGACAGACTTTGTTAGTGAGAAGTATTAGCTTTGTCAAAATACCCATATTTACCTTAAATAACTGATCAATAACTAGAGCCTTGCAATTATCTAAATAACTCTAATAGCCTGCATTAAATAGTTTAACGACAATAACGAATAAAACTTCGATAAAATTCTTGCACAGCATTTTTTACAGCTGCTTCTCTTCAATTCAAGATTCTTTAAAAACCGGTTACTCTATAAATAGTAGCTTTATTGAGTAGTAAAATAGAAGGCTAAAGCTTATATTTTTAACAAACGTGGTATTAATTTGTTTTAAAAACAAACTGGTAATTTTGACTTAAAAGAACAAAAGTGTTATTACTTATATGAAAATTGATGTGTATACAACAAAAATTTAATATAGAAGTACAGAACCCCCTGCAGCATGACATATCTTCTGATCATTAATAATTAAAAATTAATAATTATTACAGATCATAATTTAAAATGAAATCTACATTTTCTACTCAACCTGTTAACCTTCTAAAACTCATTTATATTTGTTTATTATAACTTTACTTTAAAACTAACCCCTAACCCTAACCCTTAACCCTAAAATATGCACCACAAAAAAATTTATTTTTCAAGATTTTATATTATAATTTTATTTTGATCTGGATTTTATTATGATCTGTCACAATAATTAATAAATGGAAATTGCTAATTTTAACTAGAGGTAAAATTACCAGTTATACAAACAACGAATAAATAAATAAAATTGCAAGAATGATTATTTTTATTATTTATCATCATTATTTATTAATTTATTTTATATATTCATGTAATGCGCGTAAAATCTAAAATATCAAATAACAAATATCACAATATACTATTAATAAAAAATATGATAAAACTCTTCTGCCTAAAACTAATCTTATACCAAACCCACTCTTCTAACCTTAACCAATTTTGTGATACTTTCTAACCCAACCTTATACTAATCCTATAGTACTTTCTAGCCATAATTCTATACTAATCCTATAGTACTTTCTAATTCTAACTCTACACTAATCCTGTACTACTTTATAACCCTAACCTCAATATTTATATTAATTTTGTGCTACTATCTAATCCTAATTCTAACTTTACTAACTAACTCTAATTAAAACCACGTTGCTTTACAAAGAAGATATCAACAAGTAATACTACTATATTAACGACAATACTAGCAAGCTGCAACACTATAAAATAAAATCAGCAGCAAAACGAAAACAT